GCAACATAAAATGTGAAAAAAATTAAGGGGTATGAATACTTTCGCAAGGCACTGTATATATTATATACACCTACACACACATACTGCTGTTCAAAAAAGTCTAGTCTTCAGTGTCACATGATTCTTCATTCTAATATGCTGATTTATTATCAGTGTTGAAACTGTTGTGGCGTGCTGCTTCCAGCTTTGATCACCAGAAGTAATTTAAATTTTTACAATATATTTAAAAACGTATTTTAAATGATAATATTTCACAATTTTACTGTATTTTTGGATCAAATAAATGCAGCCTCGGTGAGCAGAAGAGACTTCATTCAAAAACATAAAAAATCTCACCAACCCCAATCTTTTTAACAGTAGCGTATTTCTATTATTAACCTCTAAATGAATGTATTTAGACTACATGATCCATGATACATAACTAATCAATATTACTCATCTTTGTTTTAGTCGTATTGATGCTGGTAGATGAAATGAGGTAAACCAGTCTGAACTTCATTTGCACAAATCAGCTGCTCAACAGTTCTTTTCCCATGATTCTCATTTGCTGCTGCTTCTCAGCTCTGTGTCTCTTAGACAATAGATCAGACTGAATGAAGTGGAGCATGTTGTTCTGGGTTCCTGGACCGGATCCTAAAGAATTTGGGTCAAACCCTGTTGCGAAGAAACCAATTCACACAAACTTTTCCCTTTTTAACATGCACATCGAGCACCTCAAATCTATCAATCGCACCAAGCCGGAATGCAGAACCATATGAATGGATTTCAGATGTTGGCTCCAAGTTTAAGTGAAAGAGAAAATGACATTCACTTTTTCTGCAGAGGGGTTTGATGTGGTTTCTCTCTCCAGCTCATGCTTCCCTGCTGGAACACTCTTTACAACAATCTGCCATTGTTTTTGTCCATTATGCAACGTCTGATGTATCTGTTTGGTTTTGTTTCTTTCTCTTTTCCTGGACCGGATCCTAAAGAATTTGGGTCAAACCCTGTTGCGAAGAAACCAATTCACACAAACTTTTCCCTTTTTAACATGCACATCGAGCACCTCAAATCTATCAATCGCACCAAGCCGGAATGCAGAACCATATGAATGGATTTCAGATGTTGGCTCCAAGTTTAAGTGAAAGAGAAAATGACATTCACTTTTTCTGCAGAGGGGTTTGATGTGGTTTGTGTCTCCATCCCACACCTCTCGGCTGAAACACTCTTTACAGCAATCTGCCATTGTTTTTTTCCATTATGCAACGTCTGATCTGTCTGTTTGGTTTTGCTTCTTTCTCTCTCTCCCTCTGTTTATTTTCCCTCTCTCCTGTGCCTTTTCTCTTTCTCTCACAGATGCAAATTTTTCAGTCTCACAGAGACTCCGGAAAATTACACGGTTGTGCTCGATGAGGAGGGATTTAAAGGTAAAATACACACACACACACACACACATGTCCTGAGGCTCTTGTGTTCAGTTGATAATGACACGCGTTGTCATGGAATATACTGTGAAGTCTATTATTTTATTTATAGTTATGTTGTCACCATATACAATTGTTCCTGGAGAGTTCTAATCTGACATTTCACATTGTACATTCCCCAAACCTGGGATAACATTCTTATTGCATATTTGCTTGATTGGTTAAATGTAATACCAACAATGTAAATGACTCTTTATTTGAATGATTTATTACTTGAAACCGCACTGAAATGTGAAAAATATGGAAATTTGTGACATGTTTGAACAAGACTTGGTACATAAAAAGTTGTTTTTCAAAATTCTATTTCAAGCAATAAAACTTTTTTTGTCTTAAGTAAGCCTAAATTCTTTAAAACCAAATTATTGATCATTTCATTATTTATATTAAACATTTAATACAAATTATAAATATATTTCTTTCAGCTCTGTATAAAAATGTTTACATGCAATATAATATTATTCTAAAGTTTGGAATCAGTAAGGGTGTTTTTTTGTTTTTTTTTCTCGAAGTCTCTGGTGCTCACCAAGGCTGCATTTATTTGATTAAAAATACCCAATTTGTTGATACAAAAACTGCAATTACAATATTACATATGAATTATTTTAAATTGAATTATAGTAATAAATATTATGATTTTTTTTTTCAATTTGAAGTAGGGCTGTCAAAATGGCTGAAAAACTACATTTATGATTTTTTTTTTTCAATTTGAAGTAGGGCTGTCAAAATGGCTGAAAAACTACATTCGAATTTTGTACTTATATATTATCAAAATTCGAATTCTATTCGAATTTAAAATGCATAATTTCAGTTAGGGTGAAAAAAAGCTTTTGGCTTCTCTTCTGAGGCCACAAGAGGGCGCATCGAGCAAAATATTACTAATGCACATTTATTCAAAGCATAAGATAAAATGACTATCTGTGAAAAAAGTGCATAATGTTTAAAATAATGTTTATAAACCAATTATAATTAAGTTGCTTAAACAACTATAAACAAAACAGCATAATGTATGTATGCATAGTTTAATACAAAGGGCAGAAAGCCAATCACACAGAGTACATTTCTCATTTAAAAACATGAGATGCAGTGGGATGGGGAAAAAAACCCTGCCATAAAGGCTCGATATATGTTTTTTTCAAAGTTAAACTTGCATTAATTTTACATGGCTTTCTAAACATGCGGCTCCTTTGTGCGAGACTGTGCGCCACTGATAACGCTACCTCATTAACGCACACCTAAAATTCGAATGCAACATTTTTGCATTCGAATGTGGATTTTTATTTTTAAATTCAACGAATATTCGAAATTCGACATTTTTTTTTGACAGCCCTAATTTGAAGCAGAATATTCGGCTGATCATATGCTGATTTGTTGCTCAAGTAACATTATTAACACTAATTATTATCACAGTTGAGTTGAAAACTAGAAAGGAAAAATTGAAATCGCATCATATGACCCCTTTAATAATTTTGTGAAATATTTTGTAATTTTTATGCATGTCCTTACTGTCACTTTTGATCAGTTTATTCATCAAGGACACATAAAAAGTATTTATTTATTTCAAAAGAAAATCTTACTGAACCCAAACTTTTGAAAATTGAAACTTTTCATACTGACTCATATTTTTATTTTTATCATTTTTTTTTTTGTAAAATTATTGGCAGGGCAAATACAAATCTGAACTACTTGCCCGAACAGACCAGCAGGAAAAAAAATCCTTGTTGTTGAGCCTTAAAAAGACTAATCCACAAAATCATTACAGTGGGAAATGTCAAGCGAGGTGTATTGACTGCAGAGCATTGATCAGAGGACAGGTGGGACGGTACATTGAGTTCATGGCTGTAATTGTAGAGGCTCTCTGTAGCCCTGTCCTCTGCCTCTGACCCAAACAGCTGTTTCCTGTATGCTGTCAAACCCCTGCGACTCTAGAGCAAAAACCGCTTTCTTCTCATAATCCACAGGAAGGTCAAAACAGCTATGTAGAAACAACATTTTGGATACAGTGTACGTTTGCAGGTGTTCTGATATGAAAACAACAAGATGTTTTGTCTCATTTTAATAGGTGTACATGTCCAAAATGTATGATTTGAGTTTTTTAAGTGCTAGTTTAATTTGCCGTGTTCATCTTCGCAAGGTGTTAATGGGTTATAGAATGACCCTGTTAACTTCTAAACTCTTATACTCTCAAAGTGACAAGCCTGCCTACAAAGACTTTGCAACTTCCTGCTGTAATTCTGTGAATAATTATAGACTCCGGATTTGTTAGTGTTAACAGAATCAGCTTTTAAAGACAACTTGCTGTTTTGCACTGTGGTTAAGTATATATAAAGTATACAGGTGCATCTCAATAAATTAGAATGTCGTGGAAAAGTTCATTTATTTCAGTAATTCAACTCAAATTGTGA